GTATTATCATGTACTATCATGTACTCTTATAATATATCCAAAAAAAGTTAGAATAGGTGGATATGTACTATCATGTATTATCATGTACTCTGACAATGTATCCAAAAAAAGTTAGAATAGATGGATATGTAACTGTCATGTATTATCATGTACATCATGTACTCTGATAATATATGGAAAAAAAAGCTAGAATAAGTGGATATGTACCGTCATGTACTGTGATACATCATTGATAAGATATTATGCGGCCTGGTCAACAACTATCATTACACTATAAGTTTGTGTTGTATTTTAGTTTTTGGATAGTTATGCTCATTTAAATTGGAGTACTTCTATGGAATCTTGGCTTATTAATTTGACAGTGAATAATTCCAGAATGCGGGAGTTCGTAGTTTTGCGATAATATATTGGACTTCTTTGAAGAAGGAATGAGTACTAGCGTTGTAAAAAAAAGATAAGTCTGATGAAATCCGGAAGTCTGTGTCAATTCTGTATGAAAGTGACTCATCAGCGGAAACAAGTAAAAGATAAACTTCCTTTTTTTGTACGTCCTTGATGCAAAAAACGTTGTTAAGTCACTATCTGTTCTTGATTCCCTCTACTGAAAGGAGGGTATTACAGCGAGAAGATAGCAACATGTTTGTCCCTATGAAGGTCAAAAGAACATCCAAAATTTTTCTAACATTCCAGAAAACGGCTTGTGCACGTAAAAGCGTATCTCTGAGGGGGAATTTTTTACAGAAAAGTTTATTTATATTCTGAAGCTGATGACATATATAGCCCGACTTTTCAATTTAAGTCTGACAGTGATATGTTGAACACATATGTATGCGAAATTGGTCTGGAAAGATTGTTTATAGTGGACAACTAGATATGCGAAAACGTGATTCCGTCACAAAATTTGTGATTCCGTCACAAAATTTGTGATTCCGTCACGACACATACTTCTGCGGCATAAAGGCAGCTTTAAGTGTTTTTTCAAATTCTCTTTTTCTTCACATACTGCATCATCTAAGGTATCAGTTCGCTACAAATCGTTTTAATTTTATTCCTGTTTTTGGACACAATTTTGCATTTTTGTGCAATTCGTCAAACATGACGTTCCGTTTTGTGTGATTCCGTAACGATGTATATTTTTGATTATAAAACAAAAAAAGATTCGGTAAACTTGAGAGAAACTTCGATAATTCTGAAGAGGATTTAGGCTTACACAAACTATATAAGATTCAGACCTGTGGATTTCAGTACGACCGAGATACAGAGCTTACACGAGAAAAAAATGTGATTCCGTCACGCTTGGACAAGCCGAAAAAAAGAATTTGCTAATAATAAAAACGAAAGCATTTGTTCGAAGGTGGAAAGTATTCAGAAATTCAAATATATTGTTAATTTTTCAAAAAAATCACGTCTTAGTATGAGTAGTAAATTGTAAAACAGAAAACTTCTTTAATTTTTTTAAAAACTCGATCATGGTATATTTGTTTTATAGAGAATACGAATCTAGTTCCAGCTCTATGTAAAAAAGCGAAAATGTGATTTTAATAAATTATTACTCAAAGACAATGAAAACGAATTCTTGATAGTTGAATATGAAAAGAGATGTGGAATATTTTATCATATGATCGATTTAATCAATATTTTTCTTTTTTTTCGCACGATTCGCTAAAAGTGAAAGGGATGAATTGATATGAGTTATTGGCAAAGACTTTTCCAGTTTATTTTACTTGAGTCACTTGAGGATGTCTGAGTAAACAGTTTGACTTTTTTCTTCTTCCATGAACAATTTCGATGACCCATCAACTCTTCACTAGAGGTTATTTACAACTTTTATTGAAGTAAAAGATTTTCTTGATTACGAAAAATAAAATAAAACTGAAAATTTGATATTTAGATGGTTTATGAAGAGTATTTAATTGGGGAATATAATATTCGAACATCACAAATAGTCGGTTGTAAAGGTTTCTTTCGATTTAATACGGTTAGTCTTCCTATTTCAATAAAGGCTTGTGAATTTCTGTAGGTTTTGATTGAATGTAGTCAATTTTTTATTTTTATTTTCATTATTTTTCTATCATCAAACGCTGGCTTAAACCATCGTCTTAAAAATATTCTATCACCATTCTGGCAAATCTAGGGCAGTCGGAGATTTATTTTAGCTACTATCGGTACAGAAAAATTCAATTATTTCATTTTTTGAACATTTTTTTAACCAAGTATTGATTTGCTCAGTTGTCATTTTGACTTCGCTGATATATCCATCATTAAAGATTATGTTCAACACCACCTACGATTCTTATTAGTGGTCGAATATTAATCATCTGGATCGTTTCATTGACTTTAACATATCAGTTTTTTTATCCATGTCAAATCACTGATCTTGTTCTATTAGTTATTGGAATAGGTGTCTATAATAGTGTATGAGAACATTTAATTTGTACATTTATCACACGTCCACCAATATGAAGTGAACGATTGGTACTATTACTTCGTCAAAATAATTTTAATATCTATCAATCAATCTCAAACGCATCTCCAATTGATGCAAATACGGTATCTGATGTCATTCAGGCATAAACAATGAATTTCAAATTTTTTTTATTCAGTTTTTCTTCATTTATATGAACATATGTCTATTGAAGTATTTTTACGAAAGAAAATTTTAACATGTTCTCTCGCTCTTGTTTTTCTCTCAAAAGTTAATTTTTTGTGTTGTTAGCAAAAACAACGTTTTAAGAAAAAAAATCGAATATTTTCAGTAATGGAGGAGTATTTAGTAAATATTCAGTTTCGTCATGGAAGGTTAAATCGAAATACCAAAGGAGGAATTAGCAAAGAAAAGTAAGAAAATATTGATATTGATTGATCAATTCTATAAATCGATGAATCGAATTTTCGTATCTATCTTTCTATTTTTCTTGATTTGAGCAAAAGAAATTCATCGTTTCGATAAATTAAATCATTCTCAGCCATTAACTTGTGAACATCTTGAATATACTCAAAATTTAGAAAAACACCTTCGATTGTTTTTCATGCTGATACAATCTAATGCATTGGTGCTGAGAACCGTTTGGTATTCATGCAAATGGATCTTTTCTTTCGAACGATTTTGTTTTCTCGATGTACATCTGAATGAATGCAATCTATTGTTCATATTTTATGAGAGACGACTTTTTTTATCTTAAGTGATATTAATTGAAGCGAAGAACATTTTTCCTAATTGGAAAAAGCTTTTTTATTCTTCTTGTTTAAAAAAAAATTCAATGATTTTTTTTTCTGTTGTTCTTGTGATTTTTCACTAGCGAAAACATTACCAATTGCATTGGTTAAATCACGTTTGGACTTGGATTCGCCAGGATGAACGATTCTTGCAAATTCTAAAATAATCAAATTGATATTTAATAGATGAATATTGAGTGAGAAATGTTCCGAATGTAGGCAATCATTTGAATTTCGTCAAGATATTAAATATTATATTTTATACATACCTACAATTGCTGTAACCTTAGTATTCTCTATTGTTGATATTGTTTTTGATGCTCGTTCAGCAGCATCGGGGAATAATTCTCGAGTAACATTACGACAAGTTATTGTAGAACTGTCACCTTTGCATTGCTTTAAAAGATTGATATCTAAATCTAACACGTTTGCACATTGTTTTATTTTTTTGTATTTAATTATCTTTTTTTTATTTTTTGCTTTTAAACATTTAATTTCTGTTGTTAAATCTTGATTTTCTTTTTCTAATTTTTCATATTGTTCTAAAAGTTTTCGATATTTTATTTCAAACGATTCGTTTGGTGTTTCGTCCTGATTTATTGTTTGAGTTGATACTGATGTTAAATGTAATGCTTGCACTTTTCCATAGTCGATCGTCATACCCTTGAGCTCCTTGTCCATATAAACTTCAAAAAACCCCTTGATATTATCGCTGTCGATTATTGAGTGTTTTTTCGACCTTTTTTGTTGTTCCGATGACATTTTTAATTTTATTCTTTAGACGATCTCAACTAAAATATGTGGCAAAATAAATCTGGGAAATTTTTATGTGAATTGCATAGAAATGTTTAGAGTTTATGCATAAATCTATGTAGATCCATATTTTAGTTATGTATATATCGTATGCGTATTGAAAACCTCATCGATTTATATAGTTTTTAATCATGAGAAGGATTTGTAATTTTTTTACTATAATTTAGCATCGAAAAAATCGAAATATGTCCAAAAACTTTACGACTGTGCAACTGTGGCAGAAAAAAATTTAATTCGAATGAAAAGTTTAGAAGAACAGATGGCATTAAAAAAGTTTGCATTGCGAATTGAAAATGATAAAACAATCACAATGCCTTTAACAAAAGAAGATCTTCGTAAAATCACATTTATTGAACAATCATTAACATATGCTGAAGCAATGCAATCCTTAACATTCTCAAACTTGTTTCTTCGTGCGCCTGAAGGCGATTTCATATTGGATCAATTAAATTTTTTTAATCAAGCTAATAAAGAAAATACGGAAATGCGTGGATGTGCATCAGCTTTATTTGATGGTCAAACTATTACTCGTTCAACTCGTCAAGGAAAAACTTTTATTGAAGGTAAAACATTATCAATATGTGTTGGTTCAACTGGTTCAAAATGGTCCAGTATATTATTACATTTACATGAAAATTTAACATCAGATGGTTTTCATCCACGATTCTTATTTTATGCTTTGGAGCCAGCTGCTACAATTGATGGTTAGTGAAAATATCTTTTTTTTAGTCAAAATCTAATATTTGAACATTGTGAAACTTGAAAATGGCTAATAAAGTATTCTACAGTTGAAATTCCAATTTTTATGATCATTGAATTATATGTTAAGTTTATTTTCTTCTCGAATAGTATAAAACTGATGAAGAAGAAGGTTTTCGCGGATAAACAGTTTTAATATTCACGGTTGTAAAAATATATCGATATTTCTACAAATGTCATCTATGAACAAAAAATGTTGATATTCACAACAAACACACATTGCTAGCATTTAATATTTGCACATAGTGCTGATACATTTAACTATTGAATTTTTTCTAGGTCAAGAAAAGGACCTGAATCGTTCACATGCATCATTGGCTCATATTTATGTTATTCGAGGACTAATTGGTGATCGCCTTCAAACATTTACAACTGATGCTGCTGAATTTATTCAACCATATCTCAGCTGTTTGAATTCAAATGAATCATATGCTGATGAATCTCCACGTTCTACAACATCCTATGAAGAAGTTGTTGAACGTCGTGGAGCTGAACTGATCGTTCGAATTGCGTCGAATATTCAATATATGAAGATTTGTTTGCAAATTATCCGTCTTATTGATCAAGTTGATTTTTATACAATTGATGAAAGCTTTGTTAATCAAGCCAGTGCTATTATAACTAGCAATTTAGGACCATCAAAACCTTTTTCAATGGGACATAACGCTTTACCAACAAATTTACAACCAAAACTGATGATAACTAAAGAAACATGTGAAGAGGCAGTGAAAATTTTCTTCAAAATTTTCATCCCTCAACATTTCACAATTATGAATTACCGTTATCATAATGATACGATTGAAACATCATCTGAACTTGGTTTACAAACTCGAATCTTAAAAGTGAAATATCAGATTTTTCATAAAACAGTATTATCTGGAAATAATGGTATCTTAAAAAATATTGACAAGGATTTACTCGACCATTTGTTGGATCGTCTTGTTCGACGAGGTATTTTGAAAAAAGGAAATTATTTACAATCGGAAAGATCGATTAAGTACGAATCGTACATAAAATATTTACCATGTGCTTTAACTGAACAGCAACAGTTATCAGTCCAATTGAAAAAGCATGATATCTCTTACGAAGAATATCAACAATTATGTCAAGAAAGCGAAATTTTACTTCCATCAACTCGAGTAACTCCATATGGTAAACTCGAATTAGAAAAACAAAATATGGTTTTTGGCGATACTCATGATGTCCAACGGCAACAATCTTCTGCACCACAAGATAGTGGAACACAAAGTGAACGCAATCAAAATACTACCAGTAAGTCTTTTCAAAGCAAAATGTTTTTTACTATCTTTTCGACTCTATATCAGTAGTATTGAATAAAAGAAAGAACTCATGTTATAAAATAATTTCAAGTCTCTACTTTGAACTTTTCGTATGATATATGATTTTAGTTTCACACATCATCAATGCACTCGATTTATCATCGATTAATGCCTTCGATTCATTATCGAACAATGGACTTGATTTGTCATCAGTCGATTCTGTCAATAAACGTCAAACAAGCAATATGTTACCACAACATAACATTTTAATGAACTCAAGTGCTTATAATAATTACTTTTGTCGGTTATTTTCTAATACTGACCTTGAGTTTTCTAGATAATCTTCTTTCGAACAATAGTCCAGTTTTGCAACATAACACATCTTCATCGACAAATGCTATGTCCAATATGAGTAATATTTATTAACTTTTATTCTGTGAGATAAATTGATGAAATATAAATCATTGCTTTTAGGAGATCAAGTGAATAGTTCAACAAAT